AACGTATCGATAACATTGAAGATCTGATATTACTGAAACCTTCATTGCACAACGTCGTATAAATGTTCCAAATGTATAATATGCTGAACAGAACATGCGCATGCGCAAAGCGTGGCCTAACTATAATGGCAACACCATCAGCTGACCAGCAACGTGAAGGGATAAATTGTATTCCATTGTACTCGAGCACCACACGTCGGCACGGTTTTTGACCTAGCAGCCTAAAGTTGAACGCGATCCTTAATAATATTACGTCTATTCTATACAGAATGAAATGGATTCAAATGGAAGTAATGCGAGTGACCTGCACTGTTCACTGAACGTAAGTATCAATTAATTTATGTTTTTTAAGGTTCTATGTCAATCCGACAAGTGGAGCTAAATTTGTTTCTACATAAATGTTAGCATCACATTGGACGAGTTTTAATATAAACAATAATAATATGCAGTATACGAACATATAACTAAAATCATCCATAACCTTAAAATATTAATAGAATAAATATAGGTAAAAAGCTAATATAAAGTAATAAAATATATTCAACATAAAATTAATAATATGCGTGTAACGTCAAAAGTATAAATAAGATAAAGCCAAATCTAACTGTCACGCAGAAAGTACATATAATATAGGTAAGATCATGATAATGCAAAGTCAAACCTTAAGTTTATAATCGGTATATAAAATTTATGAAGGCTTTCCTGTGTCTGTCTGTAGGTTAAGACTGTTGACTGTTATTCTGTTTTTTTAATATTTAGCATCTCAGAGATGAGACGTTTGAAGACTCTTATGTAGAATTTGAATGTTTTGTTCCAATCAAAATCATGTCGATCCTTGTTGTAAACGATGGTCAGTTATTACTGAATTTGAATTAATATTCCTACGAATATGATTTTTATGTTCAACAATGCATTTATAACTTAGTTAATTGTTAGAACTGAATAATATATATTTCAGTTCTAATAATAAACTAAAGTAAATATATCAAAGTACATAAGGATTTCTTATTAGTCACCACAATGTTGTTTATAAAATAAATGTTAACGATTGTAATGCATTTTTTACGTGGGGCAGCTATAAATAGACAATTAAATGACACGCATAAAAAACAGAATAACAGTCTTAACCTACAGATAGACACAGATCTGTGTCTATCTGTAGGTTAAGACTGTTATTCTGTTTTTTATGCGTGTCATTTAATTGTCTATTTATAGCTGCCCCACGTAAAAAATGCATTACAATCGTTAACATTTATTTTATAAACAACATTGTGGTGACTAATAAGAAATCCTTATGTACTTTGATATATTTACTTTAGTTTATTATTAGAACTGAAATATATATTATTCAGTTCTAACAATTAACTAAGTTATAAATGCATTGTTGAACATAAAAATCATATTCGTAGGAATATTAATTCAAATTCAGTAATAACTGACCATCGTTTACAACAAGGATCGACATGATTTTGATTGGAACAAAACATTCAAATTCTACATAAGAGTCTTCAAACGTCTCATCTCTGAGATGCTAAATATTAAAAAAACAGAATAACAGTCAACAGTCTTAACCTACAGACAGACACAGGAAAGCCTTCATAAATTTTATATACCGATTATAAACTTAAGGTTTGACTTTGCATTATCATGATCTTATTTTATCTTTATACTTTTGACGTTACACGTATCATTTTATGTTGAATATTTTATTACTTATGACATTATTTTCAACATATTTATTCTGATTTTGTATTACAATTAATTGAGGGATCCAAAGATGAGTTTCATTTTTGAAGAGATATAGATGCTTGTTATTTTGACAATACATAAATATCTTTACATAAGTATTTTATACATAAGTATTTTTAACCTTCTCACTTATTACAATTTTCTAGATAAATAAAGTGTGTATTAAACGAACTACTGTATAATTTTGTATTGGATATAATATATTGTATATATATAATGACTAAAATCAAAAAGTATTTTACAAGTAAAAGACATTTGCGGCGAATAGTAAAAGAAGACTTAACAAAAATTTTACAAATGAACCAGCAAATAATACATACAGATAATAATACTAAAAAATTGATACAAAATGAAAATTCTTGTAATAATGTTTCCGCTAATGTAGTTACAGATGATAACATTAATGGACGCGGTGATATTTCTCCAGATAATTCTTTAATCGATAATTTTACCGAATCGACACAATATATTGAAAATATTGACGTAGATATATTTAAAAATGAATCATTATTGTTTGAAGAACGATGTGGTACACTTCCTGCCGTAGATGATTTTATAGTAAATGCTGTTCAACAATGGTTCTTGAAATATAGGCACTTACTAAGCCAATGTGCTATAAATGAATTATTGTCTATACTAAGAGTGCCATTTCCACAATTTCCAAAGGATTCGCGAACGCTTTTGCAAACCTTCTTTATGTCCTTATGAAATTATAAGCATTTTTCCCTGGTTTTTACTGTCATCTAGGAATAGAAAATGGATTACGCAGAATGCTTAACAATAGTTGTATTACAGAAATACTATTTCTAGATTGCACTGAAATAGTATTACCTATTTGCATAAATATCGATGGTTTACCAATATCAAAAAGTTCAGGCAGTCAATTTTGGCCAATTCTTATCTGTATAGATTTGCCTACTATCAATGAAAAATGGCAAAAACCGTTTACTGTAGGAATTTATCATGGCTTTAAAAAACCAACCGATGCTCATCAATTTATGAATTCGTTTATAAACGAGTTTCAGAATTTAGAAAAAAATGGTTTTGAGATGAATGACAGAATTATTAAACTAAAAGTTTCTAAACTTCTCTGTGACGCTCCAGCAAAATCTTTTCTTTTATGCATTAAAGGTCACACAGGTTATTCTAGTTGTACTAAATGTACTGAAGAAGGAACTTTTGTTAATGGAAAAGTTGTATTTTTAGAGAATAACGTACAGTTAAGGAATGATGTGAGTTTTAAAAATAAATTGGATGATGAATTTCATAAAGGTATAAGTCCTTTTGAAAAATTGAATATGGGTTTAGTTTCACAAGTACCCCTCGATAGTATGCACCTTGTATATTTAGGGGTTATGAAACGGAATTTAATGTTATTAATAAGGGGAAAACAAAATATTCGTTTATGTGAACGTGACAAAAAAATAATCAATGATGAACTTTTATTATTTAGAAAGTATTTACCAACAGACTTTGCACGATTACCAAGAA